GAGAGATCTGACCAAGAATGCCAGCGTGGTCATCAGCAGCACGAAGCACCAGCCTAGGGCCTGTGGGGATGAGTGGGAATACTAGATCCATCATGAGCAGACCATAATAACCCCTTCTTCCCAAGCTTCATTTCTCTTCTAAAAATAGGAATGATTCCTATCTGTCCTAAGGAATGCAGGGAGAGCAACTTTAAAACAGAATACAAGTGACGAGAGAATATTGGACCATCCTGATTCTAGCTGTGGCCAGAAGCAAAGAACTTGAGAAGAATTAAGCACAGGACGAGGAGTTATTGGCACTTTTTCATCTGTGGTTACCTGGTGTGGCTAATAAACACAAGCAGCAGAGACAACTGGTTATCAGCCCCTTGCTTACATGAGCTATAACTAGTGCCCAGAGCAGCCACAGGTTAACAGTGGGTTACATGAGGTGGTGGCAGTCATGGAGTAACAACTACATTTACTCCTTCTGAACTTGCCCTAAATGACTCTTGGTATACAGCTCCGCTGTGCATCACCATCCTGGGCTGGTCAGCCTGGACCAAGTGGGATCAGTGGTCAGGACATGGGTCCTTGCTCCAAAGCCCTGCCCCATGGTCACCTTCTGCTGTTCATGGGAATGCTGTCAAGGTGAAACCTGCCACTATTGGGATGGAGCAGAGGGGTGCCTGTGGTCAGGGAGCCAACACCTGGACCAGGCTTGGTGGAGAGGAGTCCGAGAGGCTGCTGTGAAGGGTACAACTTGTCCCCCTGCAAAACAGCCCATCTCTCCTCCTGAAGCTTTATTTCAATGGAATCCCCCCTTTAAGACAGAGCTAAGGCTGTCAGCACCTAACCCTAAGCCATCAGAGAGGACATAGCTGTGATGCCTCTTACCTGTGAGATGCAGCGCAGGTACCTGATGGCCACTTCATTGGCGATGAGCTCCTGCCCGTCGTAGATCTCCTTGCAGGGGATGCGGGCAAGGACTCGCTTCATCTCTCCCTGGGAGAGGTTACGGTGGCTGGCATTGCCCAGGGCCTCCATGGGCAGTGCAGTGCAGAAAGCACACGTGATGCACTTCCCATCCAGCAGTGTCACTGACACCCAGACAGCTGGGGCAATCATGGCCCGCTGCGCCACGGAGCAGAACATGTAGCGCAGGACAGCTGCATCCTTCCTCCGCTGGCCCTGGGGTCGCCTCCACTCCTCAGTCAGCATGGACACGTTGTTGTTCAGCACGAAGCCCAGCAGGAATAGGATGAGGGGAGGCACTAGGAGGACGCCCAGCCCATAGGCCAGGTTGTAGCGTGGCAGGCAGGGACAGTTGAAATCAAAGGCTGAGTACAGCTGGGCGCTGGCCAGGGCCATGATCCCACAGATGCCGCTCATGAAGGACTCCTGGTTGGACTGGAGGAACTGGAAGACCATCCGAAACTTGTCCATCTTCCTCCTGAAACAATTCCTCCCCTATTGTGGTCCAAGCTGAGTCTTTGGTTTATTTCATTCTTTCAGACCCTTTCTGCAAAGATGGACATCAGCAAGTCTCTATAGAGTTCAGCAATTTACTTACACACTCTGACAGCCCCAGTATTTAATGCAGAAAATGCAACTTTTTATTTCCTGTTTATTTTGCTGCTTGCAGAACTTCAAGGTTTGTGTCCTTTCACTCTTCCACGTGTCCCCGGGACCTGGGTTGTTTCTCATTTGCTAAATCTGTCTCCATTCTTCTCTATGTCCTCATTTCTGCAGTCTCCCTGTCACCAGTCCTCCTGGCTGCTGGGCACAGGTGCTGCCTTGGCTGTGCTCTGCCCAGAGCAATCTGTGCCCTGGTAGGAATGGGATTTGCTGGTTGGGCTCTGTGAACCTGCTTGCAAATTCAGCAGGGCAGCTGAGTGCCTCCCACGCTGGACAGGATGCCCCACCTCTGCTCTGCTAACATATGTAGAAAATGGGGCTTCAGATTTTCCTCCTCAAAATCGGCATCAGCCAGAGCTTAGCTTCTACAGAACAAACCAAAAAGAAGTGGATTTTATTGCTGCTCTCATCTTGACTCCCATCTCACAAAGCAGCTTCGGAGCACCACATTTCACCTTCAAGCTGCCCAAAAAATACCGGAATATTTGGACTCTAAGTGGCCTTAAACATACTGCTGCAGTGCTGACCACCAGCAAGGCATTCACTCCCTCCAGCCTGTCACCACATGTGCTACTGACATGAGTGTCAAAGTGGTACCACCACAGAGGTGATCACAAAGCACACTGGTAACACCCAGTGAGTCCTAGCTTTGCCTGCTGCAAAGAGGTTAATTGCATGATCTCATCAAACGGAAAGAGATTTGCCTGCATGAATACAGATGAGGATTACTATATCTCTAGCTAGGAGAGCCAGCTGGCTTCTCTGCTCACCTGGTGCGTGGCTTTCTGAAGGGCAGTTTACATCAAAGCTGCCATGAATCAGCCTTGTAAATGCAGAGAACTATTTTTGATCTCCAGGAAAACTTTCATTAAAGATGAATGAGGAGCCTGAGTCTGTTTGTTGTGCAGCAGCAACAGTTCTCATGGAAGCCAATAGCAACTCAGTAGGGATCAAAACAGGGCTCATATATGTCAATCTTGATCTCTCCTTATTTTTGTGAGAGAGAGTCTGTTTTTGTGAACTTCCAGCAGGAAGCTCACTCCAACAAATTTTCTGTGCAGAAACAGCATGACCTCATCTGCTTGTGCTTTGGAAACCAGGCCTGGCAGAGGTGGTGCATGCCCAAATCCATCCCGATCTGGGGTCCTGCACCTGGGTGCCCAGTTAGACACCATAACAGGGAGTTGCGTAGGGCTCTGTGTGCCCCAGTGAATACAGGAGATAGAGAGGAGGGACAGGAAAGTGGTCATGATTCCCATATCATTGGGAACATTGATGGCGGGATGGGGAAATCTGTCACTGCAGTCAGCATCACTGTTTCATGGACTCCTGGTGGGTGAAGGGCCCCGAGGACTTCAGACACATCTGTACTCTGGGCGTTAGGACAGCCCCGAGAGACAAAGAGCTGCTAAAGCTTGTTGGTCACCCTCTCCCTTCCTGCTGTCGTATGAGAGCACAGTTTCCTAATAAAGCAGGTGGAAAGGGACCTCTGGGCATCACCACTGTAAGACCAGTTGGAATCCAAATATTCCCCCATCTTTTGGCCAGCTTGAAGGAGCAACCTGGTGCTTCAATGCTGCTTTTTGAAATAGGAAGAGAGATGTAGGACATAAACAGCAAGTCAGGTTTTAACTGAGCCAAACTTCTCAGGAACATATCTGGAACACAGACTACTGTGTGCGTAATCTCCAAAATTTCTGCATCTGCATAACAGTCACAGTACTTATGCACAGTACTTATAGGTCAATATGCAGTACATTGGTAGTACACACATACTTATGTGCTACCAATGGCTACTAACTCCAGAAGTGGGTAGTTTGCATGAGCATAAATGCCTAATTTGCACTTGCAGGTGTCCAGGTATGAAAATCAGATGCAGAGAAATAGAGAGGAAATTGTGCCTGGCTGCAGTAAGTTTATGTAGTTGTGTTGCAGCTAGATCACTGAAAGCTCTGAGCAGCACATTTATTTTTGTTGGTGACTGATCTACTGAACTTCAGCTTGAACTGGTTACCAATGAGTTTAAACTGATTCAAAATAAGCTTCTCTTAAGTGAGAATATGTCTCCCTCAGACTGGTTTCAGCTAAAAATAAAAAATCCATATCCAACACTCAACAGTCAGGTGCCTAAATCAGCACAACCAACTGGTCAAATTAGGTGATCCTCCTGCTGTGATAAATGTTGGGGTAGTCTCCCCTTGAATGTAGCCGGGTTAAGTCACTTAGAGATTGTGGTCAGCTGGTGACTGATCAATAGGTCAATATGTCAATAGATATTAGGTCAGTAGTTCAAAGGTCAATGGGTCAAAGGTAACCAGGCCAAAAGTCAATGTGTATTAGGCTAAACGGTCACTAGGTCAAAGATCAATAGCTCAAAGGTCATTGCTACCTGCACTGAAGGACTGTTATGACAGATTGAATCCAGAGTTACAAACTAAATGAGCATCATCAGCATTGTATGTTGATGGTCCATTGACTACAGGAATGTTATGTGTGTATCAAAAAGCAAGATAGATGATGGTAATTAGGATGTGTAGAAACTGTGGCACCTGAACATGATGTAAAAGGTATGGATTAAAGGGTGGATCTTGTCGTGAGTCCCGATCAAAAGCTAAAAAAATCATTGGGTCAAAGATCAGGGGGTGAAGGTCAAAGGCCAAGAGGTCACAAAAAGACTGAGTGCCTGAGCCATACAACTTTTCTGACAAGGACCCCCCTATCAACCAGAGCTACTCTGTGACTAGACTGATCCTCCTGTTTCCTCCCAGCACAGCTAATAAAACTACCCCACACCTCCTTCTTTGCATTTTGTGGCAACTCTGAGATGGCTTAAAGCCTGAAAGCATGGAAAGTAGCATGCAAAGTAGCATGCAAAGGAGAGCTGCAGACCTCGGGACTGAGTGAGGCTAGGAAAATCGCTGATTTGACTTGTGTGGAGTGGTGAGTCTGCAGCAAAGTTCAGGGTGAGATTTGTGGTCTCATGCCTGGTGATAGTAAACCAGAGCTGAAATTCAAAGTGCGATGTTTATTTTGAAGGAAAGCATAGCAATCACACCCTGGAGCTAAAGAGCATGGGAAGAGCTCTGTGCTGATCCCAGAGGGCACTGCACACACGGCTTGGGGTGTGCCTGGGGTATTTCTGTGGCATTTCAATATCTGGCAGAGCTGATTTTTTTAAATCAAAGTCAGAAAAGTTCATAATGGCATGAAAAGATGGGGAACAGAGATGAGGGAAGGGAGAGCAATGCAGCATGGGGTTTGCAGTAAGAATTTTAATGCAACCAAGCAGCACTGCTGGACAGAAATATCAGTCAAACCCATATCATGATAAACATGTAAAACAGAGGCTAGAAAGAGTGGATGAGAAAGTAATTGGCATTAGAGGCTCAGAGCTTACATTCAAATGGTGCTGAAACTAAGGATGGTTATGCCCAGAGATGTAAGGATGATCCTTTGGGTAGATTGGTTTGTGCTAAAATCTACAAGAAGTGTGTAAAAACCAGGTGTGTCCTGTCCACGGCATGATGCTGGTGCATGCAAAGCCTTCTGAACACCAACCAGCCCAGCCAGAAGGGCTTTGTCACAGCTACAAACTCTTCAAGATAACAAAAGCACAGTTCAGAGCCCTTGGATGAGTATTGTCGTGAATGCTGACTCCGGTGATTCTGGAACTCTGGGATTTTGGGAGCTGAGTCTTACTAATTCTGCTAGGATGTTCTGCTGGTTGCCCCAGAGCCCAGCCTTTGGACCTGGGGTTCTGGAAGAAGAGGTGAGCACTGTGGCCATCCATCTGCTAGACACACCTGGATTGACTTCAGGACAACCTCCTCTTCACATATGGGTGTGCTGGGTGAATTTAGACCTGGCACTGCAGCTATCTGCCCAGGGTGGAGATCTCTCTTGCTCCAGAGGATGTCTGTGGATCGCCTGCCTTACATCCAAGGGAGGTTTCTCATAGTACCACATTTTCAGAAGTTTGTTCACCTGATTGTGGTCTGTGATGCCCCGGAGAAGATCTTCCTCTCTCTCATTCTCTCCAGGCAAGTCAAAGCTGTGCTGTCTGATTTCTTTCCGCATGCTTTCAAAGAAATGAAGGATGCATTGGTGAGCAAAGAGCCGGCTGTGCTCACAGCAGGTTTCCTCAAAAATCTTCTGCTCGATGTCGATGTAGTTACTCCAGTGACGTGTCTGGAGGAGGGCAGCCTGGTTGAAGCAAGGTGTGAGCCAGCGGGCAAGGAAAACAGCTATGATGAGGATCAACAAAATGCTCCAGCCGAGGGCCTGGGTGATAAGAAATAAGCAGAGGAACAGGATCAACATAAGCATAAGGACAGACACAAGCTGTTTGCTTGTACTGCTGAGAAAGGACTTCGTGTAATTGTGCATTGGGACTCCTGTCTTTATCTGTCCCTTAAACCCAGCTCCTGAAACTGCATTTAGGCTGAGAGTGCTGGGGAGGCAGTCACCTCTTCCCAGTGAATACATGACATTTATCTGTGCATCAGTACTTCAATAGAATAACTCTTTGCAAGAAGTCTGGAGCATTTGTTTTAAGCATGGGAGCCTCAGATAAAGGGGATTTGATGCTCTTCTGCTGGCACCCACTTATCTCCACTGAGAGCCACCTGCAATCCATACATGCTCTGAAGCCAGGTGTCCCGCTCTCACATTGTTCCTGAACAAACTGCTTTCACCTGTCTCAGCTTTCACTGTCCTTAAAGCAGCAGCTCCTACCTGCCAAGTTAGAAAACTTTGGTTCTAAGTAGGCAGGGTGTTAGCAGGCTCTGCTATTCTTCACAACCTGCTTTTTATTAAATGGGTTTAGAATGTGCTGGTTCTTTTAGAAGCAAAATTATGTTAATAAAAAAAACAAAACCAAAAACTTTCCTTCCTTCTTTTTCTCTTCTGAGGTGACTTTGGAGATTGTCACTGAGGGCAGTGGTGTTTTGGGGTGTAAGACAGCAAAGAGCAGCCCTACTCTCAGCCAGACCACAGCAAAGCTGTGCTGAATGAAGAGTGGGTGCCCTGAGCACATCCCTGCCATGGGGCTGAGCTGGCAGCCACTCACCTGGGACCAGCAGTGCAGGTACCTGGACACTGCCCTGCGGGATGTGCTGTTCCTCATCAGCTCATCCTCCTTGCAGGGCACCCTGGTGAGCATCTCCTGTGCCTGTGCCAGGGTGGCATTGGCAAAGCCCACAAACTTCTTGGGGTCTACAGAGCTGCTGAAGGCACAGATCAGGCATTTGCCATCCAGGAGGGTAACCACGATCCAAACAGCTGGGGCAACCATGGCTCGCTGCATGATGGAGCAGCACATGTACCTGAAGCAAAAGAGAGACAGGAGCTCAGCTTCTCTCTGAGAAATCCCATTTCTTCAAAGTCATTCTCACTGTGCTGTGTGTGACCTCTGTTCTGGACAATGGTTTGTCTGTAAAAGGGTGAAACTGGTTCTCCTTGCCATTTTACTGGTATGTCTGCAATAACTGAGCTGAAGGGAAGGAAATCACAATGCTGTTGATAAAGAACAACCACAATGGTAATGGTACTCTTTTTGCACATACAAGCATATCATCTTGCACATTTATGCCCTGGTGGAAAACCCATGCATGCACTGACCATGTCCCAAACTCCACACTCGTGGGGCGAAGTGTGGAAATGAATTTAGAATAAGTTGACTTACCAGGAGGAAGAGAGATACAGAGAGAAGACAGGATAGAGGAGAAGTGGAAGGGAGGGCTCTGCTCCTGGTGCAAACCCCACCTGATGACAGCCAGGTCCTTCCTCCTGTGTCCCTGTGGCCGCCTCCACTCCTCCATCATCACCAGAGATTGTCTGTTGAGGATGAGGCCACAGAGGAAGAGGGCGATGGGGGGCACAAACATGATCCCCAAGCCGTATGCCATGTTGTAGCGGGGCAGGCAGGGGCAGCTGAAGTCAAGGCAGGTATAAATCTTTACACTAGCCAGGGCTAACAGCCCACAGATTCCATTCATTACAGACTCTGAGTTGGACTGGAAGTACTGGAAGATCATCCGGAAGCGGTCCATTCTGCTCTTTTAGCCAATTCTTCTCCAAGGAAACTGTTTCCCTTCCTTCCCCTCTCTGCTCCCTTGGGGATGAAGAGAATGGAAGAGGATGAACAGCTTTCAAAGCTCCTTCTTTCACCCCGTGCTATCTTCTAGTATGGCAGTTGGTAGTTTCTGTATGCGATCAGGGGAAAGGAAGCGAGTCCAATTTGCTGGTCTTCGCCACAGCTGCCACTGTTTCTTTTTGGTGAAGCAGTCCCCCAGCCCTGGGAGTACAGGAAGGAGGCAGGAAGAGCACGCTTGGCTTTGAGCCCACCCCATTACCACTCAAACAGATTTCCCTAAATGAAAATTGCCAGAAAGGACCAACCCTGCAGTCCAGCGGCTGCGAGAACTGATGGCTTTCCCAATCTGGAACGGCACCTTGTGGCAAAAGCTTTGTACTGCAAAGACATTTTTGGCATACTCACATCAGTATCTGAGACCTTTGTACTGGGGCAGCTCACATTTCCTATAAATGATGCTGGTGTTGAAGCAGGTGAATGATGAAAGATACCACCTGGTATAAGAGAGGGTGTTGTAGTGAGAAAATAGTTGTGTTTGCTTCTAAAGCCTCTGCTGGTGTTGTGTGTCGTGCAGCTCTGCCTGCCAGTGACACTGCTTCCAAAAGGCTTTAATGCTTGTTGGGATTCTTATTTAATGGCTCTGTTTATGTGCTGACTGGGGTAGGGAAAATTTTACATGTGTTGTAGAATGATTACTTTAGAGAAATCATTTTGCTTTTCCAGCACTCCTGAGCAAAAATATAGAAAAGGCTGAATATTTCCTTACAGCTAAAAAAAAAATTAAAAAAAAAAATAATAAAAATGAGAAGAGTAGCAAGCATCCTCTGTCCTCTGCATGATGGAAGATGCAAGGGAGTCTTACTTCTTCAGAACAGTCACCTTGCCTGGGTGTTAGAAGTCTATAAAGAATGTCTTGTGGCAATTATTGTGCACAGCTGTGATCTGGGGTCTTGCCAGTAATTCCAAGCTGAAATGAGGGGTCATTGAATCGCAGGAGAAAGATGATATTCCTTTGTTTGTCGCAAAAGGAGTTTTCTAGAATGAGAGAGAAAGAACCCTGGAGATAAGTGAATTGTTAAACATGGGCAAATGTTAAAAATACCTCTCAAAACCAAAAATGTGATTATTTAGCTTTCTCTTGTTTGACATGGGCGCTATCTTCTGAGCTAGACAGCTACTCTTTTACTGATCATGTTCAGAACTGCTCAGCACACTTTTATACACCATGTGGGACAGACATCTGGTTTTGGCCCAGGTAGCAAAAATGCTGAATCGCGAAGTGATTGAACAGCTGGGGGGAGGGCAGGGCCAACCCGGGGGAGCACAGGTGCAAGCAACAGGTGCAAGCAATGCTCCTGAGCAACTGGAAGGCGTGGAGCCAGGATCCCTTCCCAGACCTCATTTAAGGGCTGACAGTGGAAGGGAGGGGATTTTGCTGGAGATCCCTGTCTACTGGAGGCCTTCCTAAGGTAAGCAATTTTTTTTTTTTTTTTTTTTGTTTCTACATTTGCAGCTGCAGTGTTTGGGTTTGTCTTTGTTTGCTGTGTCTTAGAACTTTGCCACCCTGCTATTATTTCTGTACTTTCCATCACATTATAGCATTACAGCCCAACACCGCAGCATCAGAGCACTGGCAAAGGGATGGGGGCACCTGTCCCTGTATTTTTGTGGGTGTAAAATAGCATTTATGGTTTCATGGCCTCTTTATGTAAGATGATGGAGAGAGTGTTGTTATGGGCACAAGAAGCCCCTGCTCCATAGGTGAGAGCCGTTTTGGTGTGGCACGACCTTCTTGCTTTGGGGAAAAGGATGAATTTACTGATGAAATTTGTGTTGATTGTTTAAAGTAGGACAAATTTTGTGGGATGGTGTGGTCAGCTTGGTGGCTGCTTTGCAGTCCCCGTGTTGTTCCAGGATAGAGTTGGCACCCAGGAGTAGATATTTCATCCAGTTCCTGGTGTGCTGGAACCAGACCATGGCCACCATCTCCTATGATGAGGGAGATCCTAGTTTACCTCATTATGAGTTGTTTGCAGTCATTTATAACTTCGATAAAGGAGCCCAAATTGTGACCCTGCTCCTTTCTGTGTTTCTGCTCCATGTGGTGGGGACCATCTGAGTGCTTTTGCTGAGCTGAGCACTTTCCCCAGGTGAAGCAAATAATGAGTAACAACCACTAAATAATTAATGAGATGCCAGCAACAGATGGCTTCGTTTTGTGTTGTTGTTCTTAAGAACTTATTGTGTATTGCTCTCCTGGCCATTAAAGCTTAACTTCTTGGTTTATGTGAAAGCCTTCTTTCCTGATCTCTGCATTATCCCAACCTTGACCTAATTTGCACTATTTCTGACTCAAAGAGTTTTTTTTTTGAGGTCATTTATCTGCTTGGCTTTGAGCTGATGTTGCAGCAAGATCAGTTAAGATGGAGTCTCTTCTCATCTCGAGAGTGAAATAGGGAATACAGTGGAGAGTTAGGGAATCAGATTGATTGCTTAATATCCTGGCTTAGTGATTTTTCAGACTTTTCTGATCTGCTAACATTTGCACATCTTTTAAGGGAGGTGCAGACCTTCATAGCAGATTTAAGGATGCTGACATTTGACTAGCTTGTCTTGTTATTTTTCTCAGACTCCAGGCTCTGGCCCTGGGGAGTCTACAGTTTGTTATCAGTGGTTTTCAGCCTGTGAATTTTTATTGATGCAGCAGTTTGTCTTCAGTGTGTAGAGATGTTATAGAAACTGCTAAGATGTTCAGAGGGGAATATGGCTTGGGTGAGGAAGCCCAACTTGGTGTGGTGACCCTGGGCTGGGCAGCCCTTGGTGCTGGCACAGTCCTACTCTGGTGTCACTGCCTCCTTCTAGGCCTTCAGTACTGGAATCATGGTTCCTACACCACCAGTTGTATCTGTATAGTTGTTCATTTACTAAAGACCCGTAGGTAAGTCAAGGCTAAAAGCTGGATCTGTTACTGTAGTTTTTTCCATCTTCTAGGGAAACTCTTGGTGAGTTTGAGAGCTCTCAGTGTGTGAACTTTGGCTACTCACATCTAGTGTTTGGGCTGCTTTGCTGTCATCCTTCACCTGGCTGCTCCAATCTTATTTGATTTAACCTGGTTGTGTTTCAGTACTACCAGACAAGCTGTGCTGGATCAGGTTTGAGTTGAATAAAAGGAAAAACAGCTTATCCAAAAGAGTGGTTGGGCACTGGCACAGGCTGCCCAGGAAGGTGGTGGAGTCACTGTCTGTGGGGGTTTTCAAGAAATGTAGAGGTGTTACTTAAGGATGCGACTTAGTGGGCAGTATTGGTGGTGAGTAGATGGTTGGGCTAGGTGATTTTAGAGGTCTTTTTCAACCTTTATGATTCTATTTCAGTCAAGAAGAGATGTTATGGAAGGAAGTATTTTCTGTTGCCACCAACAACTCAGGCAGTAACCATTTAAGTTACTGGATAAGCCTCTTGAATTTACAAGGTGTGAACCATAGCACAGATTTCCTAAAGCTCTCCTGTGGTGACAGATATGTTATAACATTAATTCACCGTTCTAGTTGTGATCAGACTTAACTTCAGGGCCTCTGGGGTGCACAAATGATGATGTATGAGTTCACTAGAGACTACCTGATTAACGTGACAGATCATTTGTAAGGAGTGATACTGTACTTCTGTAATTTGTACCTTGAGAAGGGAAGGAGTTTCTAAAATCAAATTATGAGGAATTTTCACTTCCCCTCTCCTGCCCACACCACGGGGAAATATCTTTAATTGTGGCCTTCAGAAAAGCTGGCTGTGTTCTTGTGGCAGGCACAGAGTTATGAAGAAGCGCCCTGTCACTGCTGTGGGGTGTGGTGCGATAGAGCTGGGGCTTTAAAACATCCACTGAGCATGTAAATCTGCTGCTTCACAGTAGCTGCAATTCATCTGCAGGCAACATTAGAGTCCTGTTTTGTGAAGTTGCCTTGTCACCCAGCTCTTGCCCATCCCTGTGTACAACAGCTGCCTTCTCACATCATTAATAGTCTTCTGTGTGCATTTATGTGGTTTATAGAGGGCTGAATGTCTTCAGAATGTGCAGAATGTGAGCGCTGTTATCTGACTGTGGCAATTCTGCCTTCTTCCAAGGAAAATAGCAGCCTGCCTTGACTTCTCAGGTCTTTCCTTTTACCAACAGCTGACTTACTCTGTGATGACTGATGAGTTGCAAATGATCCTTGTGGCAGATTTCATCTATGCTTGGTCATGATAAATGAGAAACTAAGATATCCTAGGAAGATCAGGATACTTGGACTAATAGCACAACTTTCCTTCACTGTTCAACTCTTACTTGTCTCTATCATGCTCTGATTTTGCAGACTGCCTCTGAGCTTATGAATTTCAGAGCACAAGATCTAACAGCTGCTGGGAGGAAGAGGTGGCTGCAGGTTGCTGTGGGTTTGGGGCTGCAGTGCTGGCAGCTGGTATGTCTCTGCTGACGGCACCTAGGAATGTGACTGTGAGAGAATTCACACGTTTTTCAAAGAAGCAATCCCAAGAAATCAATGAACTTATCATGCAGTGATTTGGATGAAAAACCAAACAGCCATCCCAACCCCAGCTAGTCCCTGTAGACTGATAAGGACAAAACCATGCCGTTTCCAGTTGGTTCTTCACAAAGCAACTCTGTCCTCTGATCCTCGGAGCACAAAATACCTTAGGAAGACAAAATTAAGGACTGATATCCATAACTCTACTGAATTCTAACTGTTGTGGACTCAGCAGAGAAATGGTTTTATAGGGCATGTAATTTTCCATATCCTCTGCGTTGAGCCAAATCCTTGTGGTCCTGCAGGCGATGATTACCTGCTGTGCCTTCTGTCTTGCAGAGGATAATCATCTCCTCGCTTTCCTTTTTGCAATGTCCTCTCTCCAACCACTCCTGTGTTTTTGAAGCAAATAGCTGGCATCGCAGTGTGTGGGATGATAGGATCCTGTGGCATCGTAATTACCACCCTCTGCTCCTTCATGCTTTAATCAGGACCCTCTGCTGGTAAACACTCCAATCTCTTCTCCTGTTGCTCTGTAGTGG